TGTAAATTTCTTTTTGGATGGTAAATTATGTAAAAATCTGTCCGAATTTTCTTTTTATCCGAGGGCTTTCAGCTATACATTTAGCTATTTTCAAGGATTAAATATTTTAACTGTTAAATAAGAAATAGTTTGTTGTATGTATGTTTTATAAAATGTTTTCATTTTTCAAAACACGGTCAAGATATTGTGTCCATGTTCAAAGTTAATATTATTAAGTGTTTTCTTTTTGTTTTTATTAATAAGGCTTCCATTATTTTTAGCCTTTTTTTGCATGTAGATGATGCTAAGATAAGTTGTCAACAAATATGTTACGAATAGTGTCCGGTATTTCTCCATGGATATTTAAATGAGATCTAATTGAGCTATGGTCAGAAAGGTATAGAGTGTGTCTGCGTGTCAAACATGTTGTAGTGTGGCCTATACAATTATTTACGAATTTTGATTGATCAGGAATACAATTGCTTAATGGGCATTTAAATTCGTAAATAATATTTGCCCTATTTAATTTTGTTCTAGGAGGTGAATTATTATTTTTAACTCTAAGGTTAGAGGTTTTAAATTTTTTGTAATAAATAATAATCTAATTTTTTTTGCTATTGTCAACTGGTGTTATACAATTTTTTAATAATATTCTTAATTCTGCATTCATCCTGTTTATAATTTTCGTTCATCTGATTTTTATAAAAAATATTAATGTTATTTGTTTATGTTTCTATTCTCACCGTTGCTATTAGTTACCTTAGACAAGAAACGCCTAATGTGGAAATCCAACAATTGATTAGGAAATCCGTTATTAATCAGCGTTTGTTTTACATTGTTTAATTTGTTAAAGAAAAGCGTGCAAGAGGATTAGTTCTCGTGCGCTCTGGTGAGAAAATTTTTAATAACACTTATTTTATATCTAAGAGGACATTCACTCTAGAAATTAAAATGGCAACAGTCTTTACTATTTGTTTTTTTTTTATAAACAGAAGTTTTAAAAGTATTATTACTAAAATCGATGAGAACATCTACGAAAAGAATTTTATTTTTTTCACTAAGTTCATAAGTAAAATTTAGGACGGAATTTTGTTGAAATGTAGCTTTCAGATCTTCTATTTCTTTCTTGTTTTCAGCTGAAATAAATATATCGTCTACATAACGAACATATATTTTAGGTTTAATAACTTTAGTAAAAAACCTTGTTTTCAACATACGATATATAATAATTGGAGAAGCACGGCCCGAGAGGGTTTCCCATACTTACTCCATCAGTTTGTTTGTAAATAGTACCATCCTGGCTATAAAAAGGAACTCTAGTGATGCAAGCGAGCAATAGTTTTCTTAGAATATTGGGTTGGTAAAGCGCTCGGATAAAAAGAACATTCGGACAGTTTTTATATAATTTATCATCCAAAAACAAAAAAAAATATTTGATCGCATGAGAAATTGTATAAAAGACTAAATAAAAGCACCTTGTCTGTCGTATTCAATGAAATGTGCATATATATATATATATATATATATATATCTGTGTGTGTATAACCATATAAGTATAGTGGTTTCATGTACTGTTCTCTCTATATAAATCTCAGACACATTGTCTATTTTATCCTATATATATATATGTGTGTATGTGCGCGTGTGTGTATGTGTCTGTGTCTGTGTGTGTGTGAGAGTACACTCAGATTTAATACGCTGTACCTAAGACCATGAAGCTTTAATGTAATATATTTTAATATTTATCTCTTTATCTATTCCTGTGTTAAAGATATATTTGAGTATATTATATACCTAGATTATATGCACATATGTCTCTAGTGTTTTCATGTACTCTTCTATCTATATCTGCACTACTTCGTCTATTTTATGCTATTGTTGTGGTGTCCTTCCACTAAAGGGTATACGTTGGACTCTTCCGCCTACTATAAGATTAGTAGGAGAGAAGGTCTTGGGGGAACAGTCGAACAGACTGTTCATTTCTGTCGAACCCTCTGCCTCGGCAGAAAAGAACTCGGACGAAGCTTTGCCACAGAGCAAAGTTTCGTCCGGGCAGGTAGATAGTCCCTGAACCCGTTTAGGCGGGTTTAAAGGGAATATTTTTTGGCCGAGCCTATGGGCTCGGAATACCCACAATAAACCGGCCTTGTGCCACATACACCCACGTGGGGGGGCGCTGTTAAATATAACAGTCGAATAGATCTGTTCCAGCTGTGCTGGTCAAACACACTGCCTCCGGGCTGAGAGGATACCAAAACGAGGCTATGTCGAAGGGCAGAATCTTGTCTCGGGAAACAGCTACCTGACCCCGTTTTATACGAGATCTATAGGGAATTTTGGGCCAAGCCTACAGGCTCGGATTGCCCCACATAAAACTCGGCCTTGTGATACATCCTACCTCGTGGGGAGGCTGGTAAATATAACAGTCGAATAGATTGAACGCTGGGTCAACCGACACACGCTCACTCGTCGAGTAATTCTCTTTTGTTGTACTTAGTGTTTTATATACGGTATATCTGCAACACTTGTTTTGTTATTTCTTTAATCATTTATCATTGTTTATATATTGGAATAATTATCTATACCTTTAAAGCAGCCTTTCTCAACCTTTTTAGCATATGTACTCGTTTCGGCACTAGACAAATATGTGCACATTTGTAACTATACATTCTTATTGCTCAAACTAGAGTCCAACCTAAAAAGGTTGAGAAACGCTGGTCTAAAGGTATCGATAATTATTACAATATATAAACGATGTCGTGACCAAATAAAAGGTTAAAGAAATAACAAGTGTTGCAGATATATCATATATTAAACAGTAAGTACAACAGAAAAGTATTACACGACTAGTGAATATGCGTCGGTTTACCAGCGTTCAATCTATTCGACTGTTCCCCCAAGGCCTTCTCTCCTACTAATATTATAGTAGGCGAAAGAGCCCAACATAGACTCTTTAGAAGGAGGACACCACAACACCTATATACCGGATTTAACAGCAAAATTGTCCAACTCGTGTAACAGTATAATTATCGATCCCACGAAATGTTTAATATCTAAAAAAAAGCACTAGACTAATTTAGTTTCTTTTTTCCACGTTTCAGATAAGATGTTTAGCCATCTTGACCCCATTTGTCGTAAGAATCACTGTCTTCCCTACTGAGCAATGGCGAGAGGAAAAAGATCATCCAGGCGTTCAGTAATGGTAACAACATTCATACACTGGCTTCCATCTTCAAAGTCCATCTTCAAAACCATCAGGAGAACGGTGAATAAGTTTTAAAAAGCGGGAACAGTAGAGAGAAGAATTGGATCAGGAGGACACAACAGGAAGAGGGCCCGTTATTTCAACTTAGAGCTAAAGAGATCAATTAGCAAAGATCCAACTCAATTCATAAGACGTTTGGCACGTGAGAGAGGTGTATCAGCTATTATCAGTGAAGAAAAGACTTGAAAATGAAATCGTACATGAAATCTGTGAGGCACCTTGTTACATCAGGACAGAAAGTTAGAAGGTTAGAGAGGGCGAAGAACATCTTGAATAGGTTGAAAAATAATCCTGAATATATATATATATATATATATATATATATATATATATATATATATATGAACTATATTTCAATACCTCATGGGCTTCCGATCCTTAGTTATGATTAATTAATGATGAACATGTCATTTTCGTTTATGAGAGATTTCATCACGATGCTTCTGTTAAGCTTAGAGAGTAATTATATATTCTTATTGCTCAAACTAGAGTCCAATAGTGTCATGAAAACCTCGGAAAATTCCAGTAAGATATCTTTAATCATTTCTAAGATACAACGGTTCAGAGCTTAATCTAACATTTGGACAATTTTGATATTACACCTATATATATATATATATATATATATATATATATATATATATATATATATATATATATATATATATATCAATTGATAATTAGTAAGGGTAATCCCAAGGGGGGCATTAATCCAAGAGAGCTCAATGTAAGAACAGAGCAATATAATAATGAGTGCAGATGATCCTTAAAAATTCTTTCGGTTATAATTTATTTCATGAATATTCAAAATATATTCATCTCTTCAGACCGACGTTATCCTTAGTAAATGGAGTTAATTTATCCAGACGAAAGGAAAAGGGAAAGAAAAAAAGAAAAAAGAAAAGGAAAAAGTTTTAATATTAAAAGAGGAAGAAAAAAAATCAATATAAGGTTTTAAAAATGGTGTGGGGGGAGAAAGCGATAGGGGAGAGATGGGGAGGGGAGGGAAGCAGAGAATGATAGAGGAAGTGAAAAGGAAAGACGGAAGAATTAAACATGAGCTGATAAGGTGACCTGGAAATTATTTTTTTCTTTAAGGACTGGACAAGTTAAAAAACAGGGCGACAGAAAGGAGCGATGAGATTCAAAGTAAATACATTGAATTGACATGTCATTTTCGCCAGCGAAACCATTAACATCTTTCTCCTCCCCGGCAAAAAACAAACAAAAAAAAAAAACAGAAAAAAAAACAAAACAATTTAAACCCCTATATTAAATTTTTTCTTTTGTCGGTGTGAAGAGATGTATATATTTTTGTATATTCATGAAATATAACCGAAAGGATTTTTGAGGATCATCTGTACTCATTATTAATATATATATATATATATATATATATATATATATATATATATATATATATATATATATATATATATATATATATATATATATGTATGTGAAGCTTTAATGCAATATGTTTTAATGTTTATATCTCTATGTATTCCCGTGTTAAAGACATATTTGAGTATTTTTTATGCATAGAATATATACTATGATTAACAATTCCAAGACATTATCCATTAGAGCAACGACATATCCAGGTTTGAACTTAAGGAAAAAAAAAAGATCATTAACATCAGCAGTGAGGTTATCGCGTTGAAAAAACAGTCCTCTTTTCGAAAGAAAAGAGAAAGTGTGAGATAAAATGGGAAAAAATAAATAAAAAAAAAAAACGATATTCATATTTATACAGATTCAGAAGCAGAGGGTTCGAACCCGTTACCTCTATCGAACCAAACCCACGCACGCACTCCCTCCTCCTCCCTCCCTCCCTTCCTTCCTTCCTTCCTTCCTTCCTTCCATATTCGAAACATGAAAAAATAGTCATGCCCTACTCGACGAATAATTTATAATGCAATCAGACGCCGACCAGGAGAGATATACGTTATCACGTCTATGGAGAGATACGGGCTATCTCTCCCAGACCATAACAAATGGACAATTAGTAAACAAAAATATTTTAAAGAACACTGTTCGATTAGGATAATCAAACAGTAATCTTTTCCCAGGTTCGCTTCGGTTTCAACACGAATACTGATCCACAATTCAAGGATGAACAATAAGGCGTAATAAATTTTGGTATAAGAATTTTAATATATATATATATATATATATATATATATATATATATATATATATATATATATATACAAGATATTATAATAAAAGAAGAATATAAGCATGTGTAAAGCATCCGACGATCAGAAACTCAAGACTTATGTTGGGATACCAACATATGCCCAAATCCAAGTGGATTCGACTGAACCCGAACGGATAAGAAAAAAAAAAAAGTATGAATAACTATGAATGCAGAAATCAACGCATAACCAAAAAAAAAAAAAAGAGATGGGATAAGATTTATATATTACTATTTTGACATGTGGAAAGGTGTTTGTGAGAACATAATATTTATGGATGCATGTGTATCTTTCTAACACGGGTCCAAAATATATAGTTACTTATCTTTATATTCAGTTCTCTCTCTTACTCATTGTCCTTTCTTTTCTCTCTCACGTTTCCTCTTTTCTTTCTTTCTTTTTCTTTATACAAATTCAATTTCAAGCACGGTCCGGCTGCAACAGAGATATATACTTTCTCCTTCTCTCTTGATTTATCTTTTCAGGCTGTATTCTCAGCGTACAAATTTCCTTGCGTCTTCTGTGATAAATAACTCGATTTATCTTCTTCAATCTGGAGTTAACGAACAGAAATATACATTCTTATATGTCTTATCCGGAGTTGCTTATGATGAATCGGACAAGTTCCATCATTATCAAAATGTGTCTCATCTTTCCGTTCATAAGTTATCAGCGCTTCGATTTCGAGTCTTGCTCCTTCAAAGACAAGACAGCAACTGACTTCCAAGTAATTTTCTAATTCCCACGTGTCCTGCATTTTGGCGCGAATTCCAATTCCTGCTGCTTGACGACCTTACGTCAGTCCCCTGTCTAGATTCTGTCTAGACGTCTGTTGCTACGGGTAACTGGGTCAGTCAACCTCTTGACCTGCTTCCCCAAAATGACTCGAGACTCCCACGTGACCTCTTCTGTTGTCAAGCGGAGATTAACCTTAATATATGCGTGTATGCGTGTTTGGGCTATCTGTATTCGTAGCACACAACCTCTTATTCCTCAACTCATCTACCCATAATGCATCACACTTCCTTCCTTCCTTCTAATAAATGGTCCTCACTCTTTTGTTTGGGTTCATTTTATCTTACGACATATCAACACCTAAATGGGTTATTTAATGTCGACAAGATTTTTAGGATAGGTTCGTATGAATAGAATATGTATTCTTTGTAAGAAATCAGTTTTTAGATCAGTTTTCATTGACATATTTTTGTAAAGAGGGTTTTTGTCGGGAGTCAAATGTATTGATGGTAATTAAAAGAAAGGTATTGCTGGTAATGTTTTTTTTTTAAATGTATTGTTGTTATTTTTACTATAAAAATCTATTTTTGTACTTTCATAGTATTTTGGTCCCAGTTTGGAGATTAACTATTTGCCCATTGCTGGGACCCTAGCAAGTGCTACCACCCCGCATCACGTTTTTGTTTTCTCTAAAATAGGTTGGTGGGTGGGGAGAAATTAAACTTAACCTAATGGTGGCTTTCTAAGCGTAGCTTAGATGTGGCACAAGGCCGAAAGTATGGGGCACCCAGTGAAGATCAAACTACTCAGTCTTGATTGTTCTTGCGAGATAATCTTGCTAACCATTGCACCGCGTCGATGCGCCTGCTAAGTTAAGCTAATGATTTTTCTTCCGGTCACGTCATAAAAATATATATATATATATATATATATATATATATATATATATTTTTTTTTTTTTTTTTTTGAAAAATTAATTTAAAAAAAAAAATTCAGTCACCCCTTTTATTTCAACCACTCTTCCATTCAAAACTCAAGCGTACTTATCAGAAAAAAAAAGAATATTTTTTGTAATGTTTGTTGATTAAATGGATGCAATCAGCAATTTTTTAAACCGTGCTTTCACGTTCTCTTAGAAGAAATTTAATCATGAATAACAAACAAAAATAAATAATGATAAGTGATCACCTAACAGCATTAGTAGTCATTTTCCAACGTAGGCGAGTACATTTTATGTTAGGTTGTTTTATTTTTTTACGTCTTCAGACCAGATTTTTTAATTGGACTTATTTTAATAAAATTCAGAAGCCATTTCCAGCCCCAGTTAACCACTAATTGGAAGTACTTTTCAAGAGCCGGGTTTACTTTGCCAGATCCGACGGATTTGCTATTGAGACAGGAGTATATGATAGCGTCATCTGCATAAATGCCTAGTTGAGAGCTGATGACATCAGGAAGATCATTGATGCAGATCAGAAACAGGACTAAGGTTATGGATCCTCGCGTTTGTGTGAAACGATCTAGAAGCGATGCCGTTCAAATACCATCTGGGGCGATAGAAGGACGCGACATCTTCCCAGTCTATTTAGCTGGGACCCTAGCAAGTGCTACCACCCCGCATCACGTTTTTGTTTTCTCTAAAATAGGTTGGTGGGTGGGGAGAAACTAAACTTAACCTAATGGTGGCTTTCTAAGCGTAGCTTAGATGTGGCACAAGGCCGAAAGTATGGGGCACCCAGTGAAGATCAAACTACTCAGTCTTGATTGTTCTTGCGAGATAATCTTGCTAACCATTGCACCGCGTCGATGCGCCCGCTAAATATATATATATATTTTTGAAAAATTAATTTTTTAAAAATAATTAAATATTCCAGTCACCCCTTTATTTGATATGAACAACTGGGTTAAATGAAACAGTCGCCCTTTGATAGCAATAATCCCTTTTGCTCCTGATCCGACTCTTGTTAAGATAGAGCATAGTAGCAGGAGTCAAATACCATCTGGGGCGGTAGAAGGAGGCGACATCTTCCCAGTCTATTTAGCGATAGGTCGTATATATATATATATATATATATATATATATATATATATATATATATATATATATATATGAGTTCCACTTCTGAGGTCTGGACTAAGCTTGAGCCGTAATAGACGCTCACAGGAAGGTGCCTCTTTGAGGGAAAAGCTATTCATTGATGTTGGCGAGCATTTATGGCCAGCATATGATGGTGAAAAGCTAAATGCTGTGTAATTTGCCCAGGAAAATGGTATTAGAAATTAACACTGAAAATCCTGGGAATATCAGGAACAAACACCAATAGTCTTATAGTTACAAAACAAATCGAAGTGTTAGGCAACATTTGTTTACCAAGATGATCTTAGATTCGTGGGAAACGTCTACAATTAATGTTCCTTGTAAGTAACAGCTGTAGACAATGGCACATCGGTCTTCACTTTTAAGTCGCTTCTTCTTGTTATTTTAACAGGATGGGCTAAGTTCGCACCATATGGAAAACAAAATAAAATTGATATTTGTATTATCTAATTACCATAAAAATTATGTACATTATAGATATCAATGTTTTATCAAGTAAATGACACAACTACTAATTCTTGACCAGTAACAACAGCTTTTAGTGTTTAAGTAAATCTATAAATACATTTTGTAACAAACATATTAGAAGGCATTATTTGTACAGTAGACTTACGTTAATAACGAGAGCAGGAATTCCTCAACCATGATAATCCATGTCAACGCATTTCTAGAGTAAAATATTTGCAACGTGTTTCGATTTTCTTTCATATCTATCTATCTATCTATCTATCTATCTATCTATCTATCTATCTATCTTCACAATCTGTTAAAATATGCATCTATCTATCTATCTATCTATCTATCTATCTATCTATCTATCTATCTATTAGTCTGTCTTCACAGTCTGTTGAAATTGACATCTATCTATCTATCTATCTATCTATCTATCTATCTATCTATCTATCTATCTATCTATCTATCTATCTTCACAATCTGTTAAAATATGCATCCCTCTATCTATCTATCTATCTATCTATCTATCTATCTATCTATCTATCTTCACAGTCTGTTCAAATTGACATCTATCTATCTATCTATCTATCTCTATCTATCTGTTAAAATATGCATCTCTCCCTCCATCTATCTATCTATCAGTCTGTCTTCACAGTCTGTTCAAACTGATATCTATCTATCTATCTATCTATCTATCTATCTATCTATCTATCTTCACAGTCTGTTCAAATTGACATCTATCTATCTATCTATCTATCTTCACAGTCTGTTCAAATTGACATCTATCTATCTATCTATCTATCTATCTATCTATCTATCTATCTATCTATCGCTTCTCTAAAGTTATTATGCAAATCAAATAAAACTCAATAAGTCAAAGTTTATGCCATTTTAATGGTTAGTTTTTGAGATATTTTTTATTTACAAAATCGACTTATCGAAGTTATGAAGAGTAAGCTAATATCTTAAGACCTTTGAAATCTAATAAAAAACTATTTTTCTTGTTGTTCATAACAAGCTTGAGTATTAATAGATGCTCATAGCAAGGGGCCTCTTTGACAATGAAGCCATTCATTGAGGTTGGCGAGAATTTATGGCCAGTTGAATGGTACTGAAAAGCTAAATGCTCTGTAATGCGCCCAGGAAAATGGTATTAGAAATTAACACTGAAAATCCTGGGAATATCAGGAACAAACACCAATAGTCTTATAGTTCTAAAACAAATCGAAGTGTTAGGCAACACTTAGATCTTTGATCTTAGATTTGTGG